GAATAAAATCCTTACACTCTTCAGTTTTATGGTTTGCCTCCAGTCACTTCTGGTTCCCAGTTCTTGAGTGCTACATCAGATCTGGACGATTTGGGTTTATAGATCAGCAGGGAGATGTTTAAATCATTAAACATAATAATGGCTAATTGAAACACTTTATTTAAAAAATAACAAGATGTTTTATACATATTAAAATCATATCAAAGCTAGCTTCCCTGCCCCTCATAAGCACCACTAATGTGGGTAAACTCCCTAAGTTAGAGAGCTCGTAACATCAAATAGCTCTCACTGAAGGCCAAACCATACAAAATAATTCAGTGATGAAGGGTTCTTCCAAACCATTCCTTCCAGTGATTCTGCCATGTCCCCTAGGTCTTCTATTTTCCTTTCACACACAGACAGGGACCCTCACAAGCATTTAGGCCCCTGACCCTTTAAATTTTAAGGGAGAAACCCTTGCTGACACTGAAGCCACCAGAAGGAGATCTGCCATCCACTTGAGGCGAGATGAGACCTGAGTTTCACATTGCTTACATTGCAGTTCCTACATCTGATATGGCAAATTTCTATTTACTGTGCTCAGAACTACATTTCAAACCCATATATGGCCACGGCTGATTAAGAAGTTTAAACAATTTCCCTTTCTGTACATATATTATGACACTTGCAAATTTTTGGACTCCAACATGACATTCCGAGACCCACTGATAGCGATCTGCCGAGCTCCAGATGGAGCCATTTACCATGGCCTGCTCATCCTGCTGGGCTTGGAGCCTCTTCCCCAGTTCTCTCCTGGGCTGGGGTGATCCTGCACCCCACATCCCACACCCCACTCTGCACCCTCATCCTGCACCCCATCCCACATCCCAAATCCCACAGCCTTGTGCTGCACCCCTATCCCACAACCCCATCCAACCCCCCATCCCACACCCTGCATCCCATATTCCCACCCTGCACCCTATCCTGTGCCCTGTATCCAGCTCCCCCATCCCCCTATCCTGCACTCTTTATCCCCCATTCCCACATCCTCATTCCCATATCCCAATTCCCACACCCCTATCCCAAATTTCCATTCCCACCCCCTGTATCTCCCATTCTCTCCCCCATGTCCTGGAGGCTGTATCCCATAGCCCTCATTTCCATGGCCCATATTCTGTATCCACTATTCCTTCACCCTGTGCCCCCCATCCTGCATCCTCCATCCCCACATCCCGTATCTGGTATCCCCCATTCTCCATTCCTGTGACCCCATTCCCTATCCCATGTTCCCATTCCCAGATCCTCCATGCCCCATTCCCTGTCCCGTGTCCCCATTCCTCATTCCCTGTCCTGTGTCCCCATTCCCATGCCCCAATTCCCCATTCCCGTGTTCTGATTCCTGGGTCCCCATGTCCCATTCCCTATCTCGTGTCCCCATTCCCGTGTCCCCATGTCCCATTCCCTGTCCTGTGTCCCCATTCCTGTGTCCCCCTTCCCTGTCCCGTGTCCCCACTCCCCATTCCCGCGTCCCCATTCCCTGTCCCGTGTCCCCATTCCTGTGTCCCCATTCCCATTCCCGTGTCCTGATTCCCGTGTCCCCATTCCCGTGTCCCTATGTCCCATTCCCTGTCCCGCGTCCCCATTCCCTGTCCCGTGTCCCGCGGCGCCAGCGCCCCCTGGCGGCGGCGGATCAGAGCGCAGGTGTCCCCGGCTGTCCCCGTCTGTCCCCAGGTGTCCCCGAGTGTCGCAGGACCGGGCTCTGAGGGGTGTGGGGTGCCTGGGGGGTCTCTCTTCCCAGTGTCCCGGCTCAGGGTGTGTTGGGGGTCCCAGAGCCGTGTCCCAGCCCCAGAGGGGCAGTGTGGGCACAGGGGGTGGGAGGGCACCCCTTCAGGGTTTCCGTGTCAGGTGCGAGCTGAGAGCCGCTCCCCGGCCTGCCCTGAGGGCATCCACAGAAGGGACCTGCAGAATAAGGAGAACGTGAGTGCAGAGGGCAGGAGGAAGAGGGAATTTTGAGGGGGGCACTGCCAGCAGGCCTTGCCTCTCTCCCCACTCCTGGGGCTGCTGCAGCTGCTGTGCTGAGCCCACGCTGAGCTCCTCGGGACAGGAGGGGTCTGGAGCTCCTGGAGCCAGTTCCATGGACGCTGTGGAGGGGAATGGAGGTTTGGTACCAACCAGCAGCACCAGGACACCTGCACAGCCAACAGCTCCCCTCTCTGTGACCAGGGACAGGACCTGAGGAGCGGCTGGAGCTGTGTCAGGTAGGGCTAAGCTTGGGTGGCAGGAAAAGCTGCTGGGGCACTGAACAGGCTCCCCAGGGAACAGGCACAGTGACTCCAAAGCCTCTCCCACCTCATCCTGTGACAGAGCATGGCCTTCCAGAACATGCTTAGGGCTGCAGGTACAGAGCAGAGACATACAAACCCCTCCTTTAACAAGGTTAAGACAATGTCTTTTAAAGGTTTCTTGTCTGCCCCTCTGCTGAGGAAGAGCAGCAGCTCAGCTGTGACAGGGAGGGCCCTTTCAGCACCTGGCAGCCACAGACCCCTGCAGGAACACCAACAGCACCGTGCAGGAGCTGCTTCCAGAGAGCTCCTGAGCACAAACCCAAAACCAGAGTAATCAAGAACTTTTGGGATCTTTTAAACCACGTCCAAATTTCCCTGCTCTCCCTTCAGCACTCCTGCTGCCAGTGCTGTGTTGAGGGACGAGCACAGACGCAGGAGTGGAAACTCAGGATTAGCTTCCCTCGCTGGAGGACTCCTGAGAGACTGGCTCGGAGTCTTCATGAGAGCAATCCTCTAACAACTCATGGAAGAGCCTTGGAGTTTGACATTTTTATAAACATCGATCTTTTTATCTTCAGTGTTTGTTGTTTGAGGAAATCCCTTCTAGTTCTTATGCATGTATAACATCTAAAACAATTGAATTAATACCATATGAGGGTAGAGGGGTGAAAAATCACATCCATAGCCAAAATAGTTTAGCAAAATGGTACAGCTGAGGTTTAAGGCTGCCTGTGGTGACTTTGTATTTTGTTTAAACATTGTTTAAACATTGGTGTTAATACTTCATATAGATATGTGCGGCACAGATTACAACAGTATGTGCTGTGTGCTGTATAATTAATGAACAATTAAACTTAATTCCTATGTTTTGAGGTTGTGAGTTATAACTAAACAGAATCTAAACTGCCAGCAAATGAAGTTTTTTTTAGATTGTTTTTTCTGGATTAAGATGTTTTGTGGGGCTGGGGCAGAGAGACCCAAAGCCAAATACTTGCACACTCAACCTCAGCACGCAGAGAGCTCAGGCTTTATAAATTTAGGTATCTTTTATGTTCTGCTCATGTATAAGCTCTACTGGGGGACTTCCAAAATACAGCTTATCTGCTAGATTCGTGCTGTGCTGGGAGGAGGCAACTGAGGAAGGCAGTGAGGAAACTCTTCTGCTCCCTCTGAACTCAGGGATGCTGGAAGAAGGGAGAATGCTGCATGATATCATGTCAGTCTGAAAAATCTCCAGGAAGCACAGCAGCGCTGACCACGAGTGTGAACTGCCCTCAAAAAACAGAGCTGAACTTCTTGACTTTCTTTTTCTATCTTACTCAGTGAACCCAATGTCTTTGTGGCAGTCCTGGGCTCGTGCTTCCCTGGCTCTGCAGCCCACGCTGCTTCCCCAGGTGAGCGCAGCCCCTGCTGCACCTGGGCTGCAGAGCCCCTTGGCTGTGCCCCTGTGGCACTGCACAGTGAGAGCCAGCCCCAGCAGAGGCAGTAGGAAGAGTAGAAAGGGGATGACTGTGCAAGGAATTTGGGGAAGGAAAAACCACAGAACCATTAAAGATGGAAAAACATCATTGAGACCAGCAGTTCACCCAGTGCTGCCGCTAAACTCCAATTGCCATCCCCAAGTGCCGCACCTACACATTCAGCCTGTTCCAAAGCCTGACCTCCCTTTCAGCGAAGAAACTGTTTATAATACCCAACCTAAACCTCACCTAGGGCAAGCTGAGGGTGCTTTGCCTTGTCCTGTCACTTGTTACCTGGGAAAAGAGGCTGACAGCCACCTGAGCACAACCTCCTTTCAGGCAGTAACAGAAAGTGATGGGGGCTCCTTGAGCCTCCATTTCTTCCACTAAATAACCCCAGTTCATGGGTGTGCCAGAGTGAGTGGTATTCCTTCCTCCCAGGGCCAGAGCTCACACTGGAGCCTTAAAGCCAACAGTTTATGAATCCACGTAAAGAGTGAACCTGGAAATCCTGAGGAGCAAACAGGTGAGACCACTGCCCTCAGGGGAGCTGGCCAGGGGTGGACACCTCCTCCAGCTGCAGCCACCCACCATCCTTCCCTAGAGCTCACTCCTCCATCCTCAGGGCTCCGAGAAACCAGCAAGCTGTGGCCAAATCCCGAATTCCTCACGGACACCCAGCGCTGGGGCTCTATCCAGCAGCTGAATCACCAGAAGGGCTTTTGCAAATTACACTTTCCAATAACTTCCATGTCACTCTGACACGTTTCGCTGTTTGCAAGGTTTGCTTGGGAGATGAAACACAAGTTAATTACAGGGAGTGATGTGTCAGGAGAAGGGGTGGGTTTGCCTTCCCCTCCATGTGGGCCTGGCAGCAGGCACCCCACATCCTGCAGGAAGGAGACAGGATACGCAGGAAGGCACATTTGAGCCATCAGCCTGACACTTCTTTATTGCAGTGTATTTATTTTTTATCATGTGCTTTGACAGGAGTCTCATAAAGTGTTATGCTCCTTCTGTAAGGTCAAAGTCTTGTGACCTTCCATGATTTTAGAGAGAAGGAACATAATTTTCGAGGGCATGTTTATTATTTCTGTAAACAGTCTGTTTTTCATGCCAAGTGAACAGTTTTTCTGTATGTACTTAGATGACAGCTCAATTTTACTGGCTCACTTTCCTGACCAAGTCTTGCCTGCCAAATGTTTTTGATCATGTTCTGGCAAACAAACCAATATTAATAGTTGAGCTGAGCAAATAATTGCCAGAAAACTGCTGATTTCTTTTAAATCTCTTTATTGCTTCCATAATATCTCTGAATCAAATGCAGTTTCCTCAAGTGCAATTACAATTTTAAAGCACTGTATTTTTTTATTAAAAACAAAATCACTCTCTGAAGTCACTTCCAGAACAGTTGGTTGTGACTAAGTGGGTCCTTCACATTGTGCTGCTCATGTCCCCAAAGGAACCAAGTGTCCACGTTGCTCCAACATGACTGCACAGGCTCCTCAGTTCACCCTCTGGACAGACAGCTTCCACATCTGTTTTTACTGGCACAGGTTTCCATGGATGGTAGATGAGCCCACAGCCAAAACAAATCTGTTTTAAAATTGGAACACTCCACTTCAGCAATATATACCTTCAACCATTGTAGGCTTTTTAAATGCAAAATATTTAAGTATTCATTTTAGAAAGCCAAACAGTTACACCCAGGTGAATGATAAAAGTAGGTTTCTGAAATAAGCACAGTAGGTTACACCTTCCTCTCCTGCCACGTTGGTGTATTAACATCCTTCTGCAAGGAGGACACATACCATGCACAGGGGGAGGGTCTCAAAATTCCTCAATTCCCTCATTTGAGAAAGAATTCACTCTAGTCAAAGCTGCAGACTTCCAAATTTCTTCATTGTTATTTTGAAGTACAGCCACTTGAAGCTGAAAACACTCAGATCTTTTCCCATTACTTTACCTGTGATGTTGTAAAACATGGGGCTAAGGAAACATCTACCCTTTTGTGATAACTAACTCTCCTAGAACAACTTCTCACTTGTCTTAGCAAACTGTCAGAGCTGTAAAGGTCAAAGCACAGCTTTAAGGTCTTGAAGTTAGCAACTGTGAATCAAAGACCAAAAAGGCAGTAAAAGGAAACTCAATACAAAGGCCCATATAAAAGCCCAAGGAAAAAAATTAGTCAGGACAAGAAAATTCTACAGAATCAGGAGAAGACTTGTAACTTGTCAGAGACATGTTTGCATATTTTTAGGAGGAACAGGAACCAAATCCACCCAAAGCCAAAGGAAAGGATATGAAATGGTCACTACAGAAAGCAGGACTGCACCTGCAGAACCTGTCCTGCTCTGACACCACAGCCAGCGGGCAGAGAGGGTTTCCATCCTCACACTGCTGTGTGCCAAAGGACAGGAGCTGTCACCAGCATTCTGCCCGGGCCAAATCCCTCAGAAAACCTGTGGCAGTAGGGATAGTTCATTGTTCCCAGGAAAGGTGAGAGTTCCAGCCCATTACTCAGTATGGAGAAGATCCAATGGTTCCAGTGACTCTGCGCACAAACCTGCTTCCACTCGGGATGCTCTCCACACTCACCACAGCATTGTCACATCCCAGAGGACGTGCCCAGCCCCAGGAGCAGCCTCTCCAGCTTTTTCTCCTGCTGCTGGCATTGTTTCCTTACATCTGCTGAGTGTCCCTCTGAGTCTTTGCTGCCTTCCCACCACGCTGATGCTCGTGGCAAACAAGAGAGACATTGTACAACACACGATGTGCCTGCATAAACAGTGCAAGTGAAAGGCTCCCAGAGAAAACCTGAATCATCTCTGTAAAGGCTGTGTTTATGCTAGAAAAGAACACTGCTATCCCCTGGGATACAAAGAAACAAAAAGTGGAATAAAATGTTCAAATCACAGAATTATGGAATCACAGAATGGTTTGGGTTGGAAGGGACATTTAAAGCCCATCCACTTCCACCCCTGCAATGGGCAGGGACATGTTCCACTATCCTAGGTGGGTCCAAGCCCTGTCCAGCCTGGCCTTGGGCACTGCCAAGGGATCCAGGGGCAGCCACAGCTGCTCTGGGCACCCTGTGCCAGGGCCTGCCCACCCTCACAGGGAAGAATTTCTTTATATCTGGCCTAAATGTGCCTCTGACAGTTTCAAGTCTGTATCCCCTGTCCTGTCACTATCTACCCAGATAAAAAGTCCCTCTCTCCCTTAAAGCACTAGAAGGCTGCAAAACCTGGGGAAGGTTTTGTGCAAGGGAAGAAAGGGCCCTGAACAGCTGGATGAAAAAATGAAGGCAAAAGGTTAAAGGTTTCATAGCCCACTTTATGGACTATCCCCATACAGTGATTCTTCAGTTACCTGCTCAGCTGGAATTGGGGAATGCTCAGAAAAGCTGGCTGCAGAGCACACTGTGTGCTGGAATAACACCACAGGGCAGAACAGCACCACGCCGAGCCCGCGGGATTTCCAAGCAGCTGATTCCTGAGAGGAAGCTCAGGAACCCCGCAGGTGAAACGCACCCTGCCCCTGGCCCCAGCAATCCCAGAACACAGCGAGAGGGCAGCACTGGCAGGAAGCGTTCGGGAGCTGCGAGCAGAGCTGTGCACCGTGGGCCTTTGCCACACGGGGGCACGGGCCGATGTGAAATCAGCTCCAGGCGGCCAGGAAAGCTCTGGGCAGCCCTGGGCAGGGTGGAAGCTCAGTTTTCCTGGGGCTGTTCTTTCAGTGCCAGGCTCCCCGCAGCATCAGAGAGGCTCATCGTGCTGCCAGGGTCATCACTGACCCCAGGTCACACCTCTGGGAAAGCAAAGCACGAAGTCTCCCTTTCCCCTTTGTACCCCTGGAGTACCAAGGAAAGCTCCTTTTCCTGTCTGTATCTGGGAGCTTGTCCCTCATGGTCAACCTCACCAAGTTTTCTGCTGGTTTTGATTCAGTCTCTGGAGTAAAAAACCCAAATAATTCAAAAGACAACATGTCAGAGCATTCCAGGAGCACGGATTTCTCTGTGCCATGGTCCTGAGGGGCTGTCCCTGCTCAGCTTGAGACAGAAGCAGCCTTGCCCCCTCTGCAGCACGGCACAAGCACAACTGTGCAGCTGCACCAAGGACACGCCGTGGTGAAAACCTCAACTTTTTCCTTATTTCAGACAAGAAAGAGCAAAGCAGGCATTTATTTTCATGCCTTTGTGGTTGCATCTTTACAACAAAACAAAGAGAGCTTTGTGCTTTCTTCTATGAATTTTACAAATTCTTTGTGAAGCATGCAAAAGATTGTTTATTCATGTAATTATGTAATGATAAACACAAATTTTGGGAAGAGATCACATGGCGTGATCACAGCCGTGCTCAGCCTTCCAAGCCCAAGCCAGCCAAGCCCTAAACACATGAGAATGATAATTGATGGCAAAGGCACAAATCTCACTCTGTGGAACCAAACACTTCATGTGTGCCCTGCAGTTCATTTAATAAATGAAACTTTGTGAATTTTAATAACATTTTCTCATAGGCAGACACAGAGAAATCCTATTCAAATCTTTTAGAGGAAGACAGAAGGGTCACACAACCTTTTTTATTTTTTTAGTAAATAAATCAATATTATTGTAGGAACACGTTATGCTGCCAAAAACAAAGACATATTTAAGACACTTCAGCACTGATGGGACTGACACATTTTAAGAAAAAAGCCCTGTGTCTCCTTGCTGACAACTCATTCAGCTTAGCAGAAAGGAGTAACAGAATTCTTATCAACATTTCTACAAAGTTCCCAAACCTGTTTTTACCTTATAAAAAAGTCAATTAAAAGTATGTAAACCCTGCTAGTGTTTAAATAATTGATATACTAGGGACACTTATTTTAGGTGCTAATGTACTAACGTGGCTAACGAGACAGACAAAGAATAGTGCCTAAAGTCTGTGAGTACCTTGAAAACCACAATTCAGACTTCCCAAGCGTGGTAGCAGGCACTCACTCCAAGAACACCCTGCTGACCCTCGGACAGATGTTCCAGCCCAGCTCACTGACGTGTGCAGAGGTCTATGGCTCTCACTCCTCCTTTAATCAGCGACTGTATATTCAACTCCAGTATTAAAATAAACCATTACAAACCTATTCTGCTCTGTGTCCAAGACCTAAATGCCTTTCATGCCTATCAAAAATCTTCAGCCAAGCCTCTCAAAGCCCTGACCCATGTCTGTGTGGCATCCCTTCGACAAAATCCTTGATGAGATGTGGATGGGGCAGGGGGATGAAGCTGAAACCTTCGGAGTGTCAGTGCGACCATACCTCCACCTGCAGGCACCATTCACCTGGAAAACACGGTCATTGGGATATTTTCAATTAAGTTCCCGACCTTTTACCACTAAAACCCAATGGCTCACGATTAAACATTAAACTGTGTCAGTAAAACAGCGTGAAATACTCACACACACGCACACACGCCCCAGACCCTCACCTGCCGTTCTCTTTTCCAGATCCACTCCTCCCCCGCATCCCCCCGGCTTCCCCTGCTCCCGCCTTTCCCGGTCGCGCATGCGCGTCCCCCCCATCCCATCCCGCCTTTCCAGATCCCGCTCCTCGCCGGCCCCGCCCTTCCGGCTCCTGCTGCTCCTCGATCCCGCTATTCCCGATCCCGTTGTTTCCCAGTCACGACCTCGCTGTTCCCGACAGTGGTATTCCCGATCCTCACACTGCTATTCCCGACATTGCTATTCCCGACACTGCTATTCCCAATCCCGATCCCGAT